GAACAGTGATTTCGTCTACCCTCATCACTGTCCAAAGTTCATCGCATGGTCACGATTGTCCAATAGTGTTTCATTTTTCATTTTTGTTCTACAAATTGGAATGATCTGAAATTTAGAGTGTGTGTACATCTTAGTGAGGCGCACTTAATAAAAATATAAAAAAACATAATTGGCGAATTGTTTTTACCAAAATACCCCTTAAAAATTTTGAGGGTATTTTGGTCAATTTTTGATGTTAAATATTTTTTTGATATTTTTTGTAGATTCGTTTATTTTTGATGAACACGCTCCAAATTTCAAGCCATTCTGATTTATAGAAAAAAATGAAAAATGGAATACTACCGGACAATCGTGACCATGCGATGAACTTTGGACGGTACTGAGGGTAGGCGAAGTTACTGTTCATTTTCGCCTATAAGCATTTTGTAGTATCTTCCATATATATATATAGGAAATAGATGGGCCGATTTGACGATCACGGATGTCCGGTTGTGTTTGAATTTTATTTATTTTTCTACAAATCTAAATCACTTGAAATTTTAGGAGTGTGTTCTTTAAAAATAGTTGAATTTTCGAAAAATATCAGAAAAATATTTTACGTGAAATAAATTGACGAAAATACCCCTGAAAAGTAAAGGGGGTATTTGGGTCATTTTTTTCGTGAATAATTTTTTTTATATTTTTATTAGGTGCGTCTTGATGAGAAGAAGACACGCCTAAAATTTCAAGTGATTTGGACTTGTAGAAAAGAAAGTAAAATTCAAACACGAAATGAGGTCGTGACCGTCAAATCGGCTCATATTCAATTTTGGCCATTGGGCTCATATGTTCATATGAGCTAGTGCGCTAATCTCAGCTTTTTCCATATATATATATATGTTCTCGAGGCTCTCCTAGGAAACGTAAACTTTGTCAAAAATGAAAAAAAAGGCATGTATTTTATTGTGCATATATAATATATCATACATAATACATATTGAGGTGCTTTTCATTGAGAAAAATCACGTGGAAACTTTAATTGTCAATGACCCTGATTTGAGGCACTCAAGCACAATCGACGAGAAGAGAGAAACACAACTTTTTATTAAAATAAACATGGCCATTTTGGGCTCTTTACACACTCAGTCTTCTCTCTGCATAACTCTTTATCTCTTTCTGCACTTTTCTCTCTAACAATCTTGCGCACACGACTTCTCTTTGTCATGTGTCCCTCTCTCTAACTCTGCATTGATTAATTTCTCAGGCATTGGGGCCTCTCTCCTTTTCATCACAAGCTAACCCATGCCTCTCCACTCCATTATATAGAACTCAAAGGCGTATCTTGGCTTATCATGCAAGTAACATGATCTTCTAATTGTCCAATACCCAAAATTTCCAAAAGACTTTAGCTTCTATGTGGACCACTTCCAAAATTCGATACTAATGTACCTTCCAATAATCATAAGAATCCATATAGCAACCATACCTTCTAACATTAACTTCCCAATAACAATGGTCTTCTTGTAGTTGTACTTTAGTGAATTAGGGAGGATAAAGGTGTTTAAATCCATACCACACATCTTGATGGCATGATGGTGGATGGTGGGTTAGGATCATTCCTCTTTGTAGCCATTGGTGGATGACATGAAGGGTCAATATTCATCCATCTAGAAGCATCTCCACACTTAAGGGTTGAAGAGTTATAAATACCCCATGAGCTTTTATTTTTCCACACGAGTTCATACTTCACATTTTTCCTCTAAAAGGGTGGCACACACCTCTCTCTTTCTCTCTCTTCCAAGAGTGGCTTGCCCAAGCTTTGCTTCTTCTCTCTTTCTCTCTCTAAGATCTTAAGGAGAGAGAAGAACATCATTGAAGGTCCATTCTACTTCATTAATGGTGTTTGGGTATTTTTTTAGGTTCATAAGGCTCATGGGTATCTAAATTGACTATCTCAGGGTATTAGGATAGATTTTGAGTAACTTTGGGATAATTTTAAGGGTTTAGGGTCTTTCACTATGACTGACTAGGCATAGTGTGGTCCTTAGGTCTTAAAACCAAGGCTTTTAGGAATCCTATTAGCTAGAGTTTTTGAGGAGGGGTATCTACAGTTGCCCCTCTTTGGCATTCACCTGGGAGACACTAGGTGAAAGGTAAAGAAGTAGACACCCAAGACATGATGGAAAGAAATTAAGGGGTCATCCTTTTGAATGACCAGTACCTCTGGGAAGGCAATACACCGATGGACATTTTTGGTCTGTAAGACATCGAACTGGATCCGCACTATTGTTGAGGCAGTGACGTTGAGAGGTCTCTGACAATCGCGATCCGAGTGACAGTTAGCAGGAACCGTGCTATTTTTGAGCCGGTGACTTTTCCTTGCAAAGGTCACCCCAATGCTACCTAGACGTTATCAAACTCCTAACATGACTCAAGGCTTTCTAATTTCACGATTAATGAGCCCCATGATATGGTAACTCCAACTCACCTAATTCGAAGTACTATGCTATGGGATCTTTAGCCCTTCTAGGGCATGACAACTGGTCCCATGCACTTTGAGGTAAGGAACCTTTGGCAAGGAATGATTCCCGGCACCTGCTCCCACTCCCAACGGCTATGAACCAGCTATTCATAAAGTGGCTCTTTGTTATGAGGAGAACATTCATTGTTTCTTAGTCACTCCACTTGTTTCATGGAACTTGGCCGAGCCGAGTTGTATGTACAACTTGGGATACATAATTTTTTTAAAAAAAATCCCAAAAAATTGTAAATATATGGGGATTTTGCATGAATCTTTTGTATATAATTTGGATGTTTTTGACAAAGATTGGTGAGTGTTTTTTGCTATAATCCCTATTTTCGTATGTTCCTTTTGTAAGATTTTTTTTTTAAATGTCCCCAACAATAAATCATTTTTTTGCTTTAGGTTTTATCTTACTTTTACTATATTTTTTCATATTCTTTTTTTTTTGTAAAAAGATTATTGTCTAGGGCTTTTGGCCCTGTACATGACTCATGCCAGTCCACTTAGACTCGCCCGAGTAACTCACCTTAGGCCAGGGCTGAGTACTTGCCCGATGCGAGTTCTTAAACCCTGCTCTGCACTCTACAGTTTCCAGAAGATGGCTGATCGTCATGAACCTCAACTATCAATCTCAACTACGAGGGAAACAGATGCCTACTTGAATATGCACTGTATGCAATGTTGAATGCCTTGAACCAGAAAACAAAAGTTGTCCATTCTACTGCTACAAATTTCTGTGATGTTGGCCAAATAAAAGGATGAGAATCTGTTACAATATTGAAAGACTCGTGCCTTTGCTGAAGCATGAGTCCCAAACGTGAGGTGCATTCTTTTATGTGCTATATCCCTCTAGAGGTTTTTTTGGGTATTCGGTGCTTCCTCTAGATATGCTGAATTGTTTAAGTTGTGGTTCAGTTGAGGTGTGTCATTTGAGGCATGCTTTAAATTGCTTTTGTTGTTTGTTTGTACCTTACACGGAAAGCACCCCAACAATGTTGCCATTGTTTGATAGACAATGCACATATTTGTACTACATAAAAAAAGAATATCTAGGCGAAAGAATATCTAGGTGGAGTTCTTCCTGATTCTCTTCTCTGGATGAAACTCGTCAAGGTTTGTACTAGCAATCAATCAGCATGCCGATCACCCTATGTTTATATTCGATGCTACTAATATAAGCATAGTATATTGTCTATATTTCCTCAATACCAGTTTTTTGGAGCCATTGATTGAGTTTAGGCAGATAGCTTTCCATATGAAGTTATAACTTGGGTGGCTTTAAGACCGTCTCTCTTCTGAAGGGCATAAGAACATGATCCAGAGTACGGTATTGTTCTTCCCGAGTACAGTATTGTTCTGAGTCAGAGCACTATGTCTTCATCAAATTGGTGCACCTGGTAGAATCCCCAAAAGTTTCACCAACTGCAACCTCACCTTTACTTGAGCTATTTTTTCTGTTTCATATATTTTGGCCCTCATACAGTTCTTCTGGGTTTACCTCATCTCCGGACTTTGCCATTGCATATCCTATGCATTGAAGATTGACATTGGCCTTTTTGATAAAGAGTCAGATTAGAATTATTGGCCACACTCAAATTTGATCTGCAGAGATTTTTGCAGTTGCCTTCCAAAACATTTTGGAAAATTGTTGGTCTATTTGGTGAAATCAATGAGAGGTGCTATATCTTTCTGACATGAGTGGCTTGAGCTTTCCTCGTCCATTAATGTAACCAAGACTACATGAAGTGTGAGAAGGCAAGTACAGGTGTCCTTGATCTGTGCATAAACTATGCAATTGTGATGAGCGAGTTTTTTTATGCAAGCACATATCCGCTTTTGTCTGGCACTTGTGAGTTTTTTATTGTGCAGTAGTAATTAGCTTTTAACTGGAAAGTAATTGAAATCAAAATGGTCACTTCATTAGACAAGAGAAGTGTAAAAGATCGTGCTGGCCATCTGTTCCCAAAGGACTGACTTAAAACACACTCCAACAAATCCAATACCTGCTGGATGTGGTTTCACTTGTGCCTATATCCTATACCTGTTTCCACTGTCTGCCTGTCTCAGAGGATATTCTCCCTCTTTATTAGTCTTCTAAATTCCAATCACATCAAATGCACGTCCTTCATGTTTTAGAAGTGAAGCGAAGTGCTCCACATATGATATCAGCCAGTTCATGACAACTTCTAATCTGATCGTAACCTTCTTTGCTGAGTACCATTCCTCTCCCAATTGGAAGGGAAAATGCTACTAGCATCTCTTAGGCAGGTCTTCCTTGTTCGCATATGTAGCAATCCCTCTTTACACAACCCTTCTGTTATGTCACTACATACCCTGGTAATGCTCTCTTGCCTTTATTTATTCATAATTCTCTAAACTGTGTTCATTAGTGGAGCTACATCCAACCCCCTTCCCACCACCTAAAAAAAATAAAAGAATAGGAAAAAGAAGAAATTCTCAAAAGAAAGAATCTGCAACTGAGCCAATAAATCAGTCTTCCAATATCACCTTATGGAAGATAATTTCTGCCTGGACTATGGAATTTGTATAGCAAGTGAAGTGGGGATTCTTAGACTTCCCATGGCAGATTCTGATGCAATGAAATGAAGAATTATTTGTGAAATAATATAGCTCAAAGTGAACCAAGATGCAGAACTTTAACATTTGAGGTAAACCTTTCATTGCTGGGGTTCCAAAAGTAGAATATTCTTGGTCTTAAATATGATAATGCATTCCAGAGGCCCACTTTTCTTGCCTATTATTGCTAGGAAATTTAATATTAATCTTCTGTTGGATATCATTTCCAATTCATAACCCAGTCTCTATGTCCCAAAATAGAGGAAAAGAAAAAGAAGTCCATTATGTTTTGTGATAGGTTACTGAACTGTGACTGGATGAAGGAGTTTGAATGTTTCTCTGATTTGTTGACTGTGAATGGTGGAAAATCTGGAGTAAATACTATCATTTTTCCCTCGAAGGACTTTTCTTGATTTAGCTGAAAACATTTGCCAGGAATTAATTGTCACTGTCTTGTAAAAAAATGGCCTCAATTGGCGTCCATGCCAATGATGTTCCCCAAACTCCTAAAAAATAAAGTTCCTAAATCTAATGAGCGAACATTCCTTTGGTTCAAGTTGGGTTCAAGAATATGTCATTTTGTTGATCTGTCTTGAGGATTTGTCTCCACATCGTCTCTTCATTTCAATGCATCCATCCGACTGCTCCATGAATCCTTATATCGAGAAGCTCAAGAATTAGTCATAGGAACCTTTCACTGATGACTGATTTCTTATTAATCAATTCAGAGTCTTAGGAAAGTAGTTTTCCTGAAAATTGAACAGGGAATGGTTGGATGAGAAGATGGTACTTGAGGGATTGATAAGGTGTATGTAAGAATGGTGACTTGAGGCTTCCACAGTAGCTAAGTTTTGGTTGGGGAGGGCAACTCTAATTTCCAGGAAGTGGTTCTGGTAGGTGTGATAGAGGTTCAGCAGGATAGCCCTTGAGTGTAAGAGGTGAGATGATTTTACTGAATTCGTTCATCATTTTTCATTATTTTGGACCAAACTAGAGGTTGTGAAATTATAGTCGGTTACAGAATTTCTACTAACCTGGGTTTTCTGTCTTTTTTTAGACAGATGCATGGTGATGTGTTCTTTTGATACTGCTGATTATTTAGGCCAATAAATGTTAAATTTAGGGGTTATTCAATAGTGGTGCAAATGTCTGGACATTTCTATGCAATGCGTTTATTTTCATTACTACAGTAATTGACAATAGTTAGCATTGCATGGCCCTGGCTCTGTAGCCTTTAATCTAGTGGTATACATCCACTTTGCTTGAGGTCAAGACTGAAATTTAACCTTGAACTTTTGTATTCCTTGAGTCTCTAGGTCCCAAGACCAGTGACATTCCTTAGGTTCGCTGCTGCACACACACACATGTATTATTGTGCATGTCGCATGCAACCCACTTAAATTAAGCCCTGCTTTAGGAAGATTTAGTTGTTATGCAAGTGACTAACATGTTGGGACAAACACATATTGGTTCTTCGTCACCTATGCAAGTAGAATTGGTCTTTATCTTCAAATAAATTAGCATTTCGTCCTACTTGAGCCAAAAAGGTGAGTACCCTCCTCTGCATGCTTCAAGATTTCCCAATAAACATCTGGGTAGTGGGGTGTAATAAATTTCTTGTTTCATTTTGATATGTAATTCTTATTAGTTTTATCCAGTGTCCTTTTAAGCAACCACAATCTTAAAACATCGTAGAGCATGCCTTCCATGTGTGGAGTTTGGAATAGATGCATATGTTATACTCCGTAGGGGGAATAGTGTCACATAATAGCATGGCCTCTAGGGAGCATCCAATGGTTTTAGTTACATTGGACTCTGGAGATTGGGCCACGCATGGTAGTTGGAACGCACCTATCGCCCACAACCATACATATCCAGTTATTCTCCTCTATACAAACCTCGTTGGATGGTGGATATTCCTCGACTCTACAGCTTTCACCCCATGATGTGTGGTACATTTACCCATTGTATATCTACAAGACGGATCGGATTTAGTTGCATCTATTGATACACCTATTTTAGTTTGTCAATCGTTCCCAATTCCATCTTGGGGATGGATGTTTAATGTTCCAAAATTCACAGGTCTATCATCTCAACCACCACGATTATGAATTCCTTGACTCTACAGCTTTCACCCCATGATGTGTGGTACATTTACCCATTGTATATCTACAAGACGGATCGGATTTAGTTGCATCTATTGATACACCTATTTTAGTGTGTCAATCGTTCCCAATTCCATCTTGGGGATGGATGTTTAATGTTCCAAAATTCACAGGTCTATCATCTCAACCACCACGATTATGAATTTGAAGGAAAAAAAAAGAACTTTGAGCCTTTAAAATGAGCCCCTAGTGGACTATTTTCTTTGGACCACTTAGTTCTATTCTTCAAGGATCATTCGTACCAAATCAAATTTTGGAGCTCCAAAATCATGGATTGAGGCGGAAACTGATTCACAGTTATTTTAAATTGTCTCTTGGGTCCTACAACGTTTCAAAACCAGGGCAGATGCATGAATCAGCAGACTCAAGAGGCGCTTTTTTTGCTGCACGAATATGCCAAATGTTCCTTCAAATATAAAGAAATGGAAGATTAAGTTTGACCCTAGATTTGGAAAGATCAATTGATGTTCACTTTGGACTATTAAATAATACCTAGTCCCACATGGTGTAGCACCTTTAAAATCCATAATAAGGTGGTGGGTGACCAGGCATATTAAATTAAGCCCCTGTTTGGAAACATTCGGATCTGAAGTTTGTAGAAAGGCAAGCATCTTTCCTTTAACATTGCTATCCTTGTTTACTTTTAATATAATTTATCAGCCCACCCGTTCCAGTCTCAGGCACCTATCCATCCTTATTTTAGCGACCTTTAAGTAGGTAACCTTGAAGTTGTAACACGTGGGAATGAACCTATGGTCTTTTATAAACTCTATTTTTTGTCTATTATATAAAATATTATTAGTCGATATTGTATTCAAAATTGGCAATTGCTCTAGTATTTTAATAAAAGCTTGTTTGCTTTTGTAACCTTGACTTTGTCTCTGACCGTCTATTATTTTAATGGATGGCTAGAGTTCCACCACGTCATGCTTTACAGCATGGTTTATTCCAAAAATGGAAGTGAATAGAATAAAGGGAAAATTACCAAAAAAAAAAAAACACCCAAGACGCAACTTACCCCAACCTACCTTTCTCTCACTTATCTTCTCTAAAATACATTTTCTATGCAAGTACCTCCAATAAAAAAAAAAGGAAAAAGGCTAAACTACCATCTTTTTTTTTTTTGACAAATATTACTAACTTTATTAAAAACTAAGGAAAGGGAATTACAACATTAGAGATAACAATAGAAGGTAAATAAGCACCACCCTTTGCCAACAAATCCGCTTCAGAATTTGCTTCACGGTAAACATGAGAGAAAATAATTGACATGGATGAAGAGAGGTTCATAATCCTTAACCATAACCGAAGTTCTCAAAAGACCCGATGTTC